AATAATATATTTAAAGTATAATTCGAGGACATGTTCTCGAAATATACATTTCATTTATGAGTCCTCAGAGTAAACGTTGAGTATAAAAAATGCTTTAACACCCAAAATATTGTTTTATTTTTAAAAATGACAATTATCTAAACTTTGGGAGTTTATCTAATATGGTTTGCAATTGAAAAAATAGGGTGTCCCAAAATATACGCTGGACATATGAGGACATGTCCTCGAAATATACGCTGAACATATGAGAGCATGTCCTCGAAATATACATTTCATTTATGAGCCCTCAAAGTAAACGTTGAGTATAAAAAATGCTTTAACACCCAAAATATTGTTTTATTTTTAAAAATGACAATTATCTAAACTTTGGGAGTTTATCTAATATGGTTTGCAATTGAAAAAATAGGGTGTCCCAAAATATACGCTGGACATATGAGGACATGTCCTCGAAATATACGCTGAACATATGAGAGCATGTCCTCGAAATATACATTTCATTTATGAGCCCTCAAAGTAAACGTTGAGTATAAAAAATGCTTTAATATCAAAATATTGTTTTATTTTCAAAAATGACAATTATGCAGAGTTTGGGAATTTATCTAATATAGTTTGCAATTAAAAAAAGAGTGTCCCAAAATATACGCTGGACATATGGGAGATTGTCCCCAAACATACGTTTGATATGTGATTAGTTTGAGGCCTGTCCCCAAAGTATACAAATGTCCTCAAGTATGCATACGCTTGAAATTCTGTCCCCGTTATATGCGCACGACATATATATATATATATATATATATATATATATGTATATGTACACACATATAATCTTTATGATGTATTTTTTTTTTTTTCAGAAATAAATTTAGTTTGAAATTATTTCATATTTTTTTTCATCCGCAAAAATATTAAAAATTGCTTCCTTTGTTTTAAAGTTATTACATGACAGTTTATAAAATGTATATACAATATGTATTTCATCGCTCTCAATTCTGTTTTTTATTTTTTATTAAATAATTTTATTAGTTACTTATATTGCGAAAATGGCAACTTTTAATTCAATTTGCTTCGCGTTACGTATATTTAAAAAAATAGAAAAAGTGATAAGTTTACACGTCCGTTAAAAAAATTATTATATAAATATTATTTGAATATACATATATTTTGACTAAATTTTTTTTCTACAAAAGTAATGATATAAAAAAATCTCACTTTAGAATAAAAATTAGATACTAGTCTGTCAGAAAAGTAATAAGATTAGGTAAATACGTAACGTATAATTTTGTAACACTGAAACTCCGTAATCATATAGAATGTAAATATAGTTCTTTTCTTCAAAAGTACAATTAAGTTGTTTTCGTTAGTATAATTTGATTTGTTTGGTTGCATTCATTATAACGTATGTTTCGTTTATAATATTATACATATATAATATATATTACATAATATTATAATGACGTATGAACGAATCGAAACTTGAACTGTTTTTAAAGGAAATATTATATTTTACATATATGATGATTATGATTTTTTTAGTGTTGCCATATTGTGCGCTACAAATTTAGTCTCATTACTTTTCTGACAGATTGTGTATACATATATTATAGAATTTATTAATAGTATATATATATTTTTTTTGTTATTGTTTTAATATAAAAATTATTTTATAAATAAAATACAATTAGATAGTGTATTATACTTATGTCAATATACTGTTACAATATATAATTAAAGTAATTAAATTTAATGCAAAAAATTGGGACAGCTATGAATATATAAATAAGAACGATTGACTAATTCTGAAATATTTAAAACCTAATTAAAAATTATTATTAATATGTGTTTTCATTATTGTAAATTATTATTAAAAACATTAAAATGCAAATTAAAATATGTGAAAATATGTAATAATAAACTAACTAGTTTTAATTATTATTTTATATCAATTTTTAATTGTAAATTTTCTCGACGATTCTTACATGCAAATTTGCAACTTTGCATATCTCCGTTTATGATATATGCATAGAATAATAATAGACACATTATTGAAAACACATTATTCTCGATTAAACTTGATAAGAACTCAGTCGATTCAGTCATTATTAAAATTCGAGAATTTAAATTACTCGCAACTAGGCGCTGTTGCTGTACAACTGTACATGATTTAATGCAAAATACCATTGTCTTTTAATTCATATATTTATATCGCAAAAGATTATTCTTTTGTATTTTCTCATTATACTAATGTATAATATCATAATAGTTATAACATGATTTGTTGAAGCAGATTTTGGTTAAATTATTTTCTTTATTTATTAATGTATTAACAATTATTAAAAAATAATAAAATATAAATTATACAGAAAATACCTGAGAAATGGACACAATCTATATTCATGTTTGAAAAATTACATAATTTATTAAATGCAGAGTTTTTTTATAGTACATTCATGAATTTATTCCTTATTATCTATTTTGTTTTTCTTACTAATACTATTTAAAACAATTTCATATATCAATTTAATTTTTAATTTGTTAATTACATGTTTTATAATAAAAGAACGTGCTAGTAATTATCTTATTGCGTAAAACAAGATCAGGTTTAATCTTTTAAAGAGGAATTTCGCATATTAGCATATATATATGTTGGAACATTTTTTTAAATATTGCTATTAAAGTTACAATTTCTAGAATTTATTTGAATATTGCTTTTGTTTTTGTATATGTTATATGGTAATAAACTATTAAAGAAATTTTTTGTTATAATTTATATTTAACATGTGTACTGATTTTATTCATATATTAATTTTCTTTGCTCTGATTTAGTATTTAATATCTCAGAAAGAAAGCCTAAATGTGATGAGACGAAATCTTAGTTTCTCTGATTTTCCGATAGATGTTTTTTAAAATTTTTTAATGAAAAATCTAGAAAGAGATATCTTAATATTCATAAATTTATACATATATTCCTATTATAATTTCCTTTAGCCTTGCTCGTGACATGAATTTCTCACATGGTTCTGACATTAATTACATCTCCATTTTCACAAAGACTTTTGATCCTTTCATATCAACTCTTGTCAAAAACGTCTACAAATTATCCACGAAGTCGATACAACGACGCATGTACCTTTTTCTTGACAAAGAATAATCAAAAGATCTATTTTATCGTTTATTTCGATGTTTGATGTGTTACTATTAAAAGTTAAAATTAATATATTTTTTATTTCTTTTATATCACATTAATTTCAAATGTCTATAGAACGATAAGTTTTAATTAGAATAGATCATTTTTATACATAGTTTTATTTGAAAATGTAATTCAGATTTATTTACGAATAAAATCTGTGTGAAATTACTATCTTATTTTCGGAATTATTTTCTCATGATTCTTTCAAATAACTTACAATTATTTATTTAAAAATTCAATTATTCGATTATAATTTGAAAATATCGGAATCATTCACATGGCTTAACGTTACTCTCCTCTCTCTGATTGATGATCAATTAACATTTTCGAGTCGATAACAGCCGCGAACCAAACATACACATTTACCTAAGAAAACAAACAAATTTCCATGTCAAATGCACGTTTTCTCATAATTTAAGAACACATTTGTAAAGTTGAAATAAATTAATTTTATATGAATTTATTATTCATTTATTAATCTCACTCAACTCGTTTATTGGTTCCTTTTTGATAAAAGAAATAAATGTTTTATTTTATATATCTCGCGCGTCCTATATATATTATAAACATTTATTTTTTTTCTCAGAAAAGGTCTAAGCTACCTGCCTAAGTAAAGTGATCTCGGAAAAGAAGAAAATGAGGGACCATAAAATAACCTTTCCGGTTGTTGATTTTCTTGTGGACCTTGGCATCGTCAAGCGTTACCGCGAGACAAGCGCGCTCCTCCGCTGATTTTTCTTTCCACAAGTCGGGACGTAAAAGCTAATTCAACATTTATATTTATTTCTCTATTCAATATGCAAATGACAATATCATATCATTATACTATTAAAAATAGAACGATTGAATTAATTACCAAGTTTCTCATATTTTCTAATATGTATTCTTATTGCGATAAGAATCCTAAACGCTGCACTGTGTTATCGTAAAATCATTATTTTTGCGCATCCTTTTTTTATTAGTTCAATAGAATAATAAATGCTTTTCCACGATTAAAGTACATATAGAAACAAAGCGCGAAAAAACTTCTTAAATTACCGAAAAAAATTCTTAAATTAAAAAAATTTTTTTTTGTTCTTAACATATAATAAAATCGGTAGGTTCGCGCTTTGTTTCATATACGTTAATGGACAAGCATTTATTATTCTATTGAACTAATAAAAAGAATAGGGTGCGTAAAAATGATATTTTATCGATAAAATAGGACGACGAAGATGCCCTAATGGGAGAAGATAGCACTTAGGTACTGTAAACTCTAAATAAATCCTTGAAATATATCCTTGAAATAATCGAGCCTATATTTCATGTCGTGCAATTGAGACATGCTACGTATATATTTACTCTCAGTGATCACGTGAGTTTCAACACGTTTATATGGATATAGCGAATAGAATCCTTTAAATATATATCGAATTAATATATGAATTTGTTTTTTTAAATATAAAATATTTTATAATGATTATTTCTATAGTTATATCTAATTTTTATATAACGAAATTGTTAAAAAGACTTTATATATTTAAATTTCTATTTTTTAATCGTCAAAATTATTTTTCAAATCTCTTCAAAACTCATTTTAAAATATTTATAGAATTTTTTTGGAGAAAATTATTAATGTTTAATGTTTACTCGATAAAATCTTAGAATGAGATTTTATAGAATGCATTGCTAAAAAAAGTGATGAATTTAATGAAATATGTTATTTGAATTTTAGAAATAACATTTAAGGAAAATATAATTTTTCAAGAAATATTGCAGATATATTAATCTATTTAAAAATAAAAATTTATAATTAAAAATTTTGGTTACCAACCTGTAATGGTGTACTTTCCTGATGATCAGAGCCTGTATATGGCGGATACAATTGGGCTAAACACATGACTGCTTCGTTGCAAAATTTTAGACCCATTACTTCTTCGTCTTCTCTTCCATATCGGAAAGTCAGCGTAACTTGACCAAACACCTGGAAAAATTAGAATTTAACTTAATATTTAAGATATAATGATCTATAGTGACACAAATTTTATTTCAATACAAAAATATATTTTTATTTATGTCCTTCTCCACATTATACTAATTTTTATTTGAACAATTTTTTTATTTAGTAAATATTGTACGATTTAGTCGAGATCGTCAAGTTAGGTGATATTTTACATTTTCTACTAAATAAGGATTTAGTACACGACTTTACAAATTCAAAGAACTCTTGGGTTTGATCACTGAAATTTTAATTGAATACATATTTGGAAAGTCTTTTTAGAAATATACCGAAATTTCTTATGAGAATGTTTTACAATTTCGAAGATAAATTTTTGTTGTCGAAATATACATTATATAATTTGTTGCGGATCAATCTCAATCGATATTAATTAATTAATGACGTTATCTCTCGACAGATCAAATTCGTAATTGACAGAGGGCACTAGAAGGCTTTTAGCAAAACGAAGTTATCTCGGAATTTTGGAAAATATGACGGCGGCGTACTCTGTAATTGACTCAATCACATCATTTACAGTGGCCGATTCGTAATCTACTAGTATTACTCTGTTATCCTAAAGAAATCCGTCCTTCATGAATCGCTCGTTGCTTCAACGTTCATTGCGATTAGACATCCGTTTACATTTAATCCGTTAAGAAAATCCTTTAGTCTCTGTAAGCTCGTTAATGTAATCATAGGATTTTCTTGTCATCGACTATATTCGCGATCTTTCACTGATATCAGTTTCATATAGTCTATTCGGATACGTTGTAGTTGTTTAATCCTAATCTCATTCTCTCTATTAGCTATTATATATTGCTTTTATAGCCAGTGTTTGCTGTTATCTAAATCAAATTATATAGATGATCATCTAGATGAAATTTTCACGTCATCTTTATATAGATAATGAATATGTTTTATCTACAGCTGCATCTTAGATAAAAAAAAGTATTATCTTTATTAAATTATCTAGAATAATGTTTCGATAATTTGGGTTCGAGTCATAACACATAACGATACTTAAGTAATAAAACTTAGGCAGTAATAAAATAAAAATTTATAAATAAAAATATGGATATATTTTTATATACCTTTTAGAATTTACATTTTTTTATAATTGTGTTTACATAAAGCGGTTTTAAAAATAATATTATCTAAAAATTATCTAGATGATCGCCATTTAATTTTATCTTTTATAAAAACGTAGATATTTGAGAATCGCCAGGCAGAATTTAAAAAAGTAACACTCTTCTCTCGACCGTACAATAATATTTGCCAGTACGGTCGAGAGAAGAGTGTTACTTTTTTATCTTTTATGTAGATATATTTAAAACAAAAGCATCTTCATCTCATCTCTCATAACAAGATAAATTTTCATATTTTTATCTTATCTTTATCTAGCTAATTTTAAAATCATCTAAGCACAATACTGTTTACAGTTATCACATCATCAAATTAATAAGTCATGTACAGTCCTGATTCGTGGAATTATATTCTCGATGATGTGGTTGCTCGCTCTTTTGTTTCGTCGCCAAACTAATATATATGCTTCTCTGCATAAATGTTATCACTTGTACGCGACAATCGATTGAAAACACGATGGAACTGAAAAGTCTGAATAAAGATAAATTGAATTGTATTCGCTTTCCTTGATCATCACTTAATCCTATTATTATCCTTCGAGATCGATCCGGCGTATTCTCTGTTATGACCTTCTTAGTTCTAACATTGCAAATAACACTTTTAAAAATAAATATTTAATAATTATCGTTTAGTATTGTTTTATATTTGCCTTACCCTTTTTTCCTGTAAATAGTCGGGATCAACCAAGAGAACACCTTGGAGTTGGTCGATTTTGGCTTCACTGACAATAAGATCTCTACTAGCTAGGTAAAGTGTCAATTTATTATTCGGTGATGATTTCTTGTATACTCTGCAGATCAGAAAATAGTCAATATTAGAGAAACAAAAGGTATATGTAGATATCAAATCGGGTGGTATTTTGTAAAATAATAGAATTTGCAATTTTTACTGAATGCAATTTATCTATAAAAAAACTTAATAATCCTGAGAATAGAATTATAAGTACAAATTGATTTATTAGACTTAGAATTTGATATTTAATGACAAAAATATAATTTGATTATGTATAAAATGTTTCATATCTGAACAATTTACGCGTTATACACATATTTTGTAAAATATAACATGTTAAAGTATAGATTCAACTATAAATGAAAAACTTATGTGATACAATAATATCTCATGATTCTATTTTAATAAAACTTCTGACAACATTATTTAACTTAAGAAAATCAAGAAAGTAGGAAGTCTATACTTGTCTAATCTATTAGCTAATTTATTTATGGTGACATCTCTTTTATTTTTCGATTTTAGAATTGTTATTGGAATTTAAAACAGCATAGAGAAATTCATTCTGTATTTGATTTATTATTTATTAAACGAGTTATCGATTTTGTTTGCGTGTTCTATACTCGATAGCTTAACTACATTTATTTATAATAGCATATCGTTAAATCCGCAATACGTTTGCGTACATTGGGAAAATGTGATTAAATGCGCGATCGATCGCATTATTATTACTAATCAAAATATACTTGTATTTGATTTTGGATCTTTTTCACGAAGCGATAGCAATTCTATTATTTTATTATCTCTATTATTTAATACGCGATAATTAACTGTAGTTGTTGATTATAAATCAATTTATTCGAATAATCGTTTGTAAACTGTAATTGAAATAAATGGTTTTATTCTCTTGAAATTATTTGTTCTTAATAATATGCTTCACACATAATCCACTCATTACAGTTAATTATATTTCATGTATTTAAAGTACTAAGATATATTTAAGCTATGATGATTATTTGTAATAAAACTAATTCTAATGAATTTAATACGGATACTTGGTATTTTAGTTATTAGTTTTATAATGATTATAGTTAAAAGGTTTATCTCGAATGCCACGACTAATTGATAAGAATTAAATCTCAACCCCATCATGATTGCATTAATGTGCATTAAAAATAGTTATGATTAGTTTAATAAGTTTCTGTTAACCCGTCGTTTAGTCTAAATAAAGTTTAATGATAAATAATGAAGCGTGTATTGCGTCTTAAATTGTTATCATTAGTTTTTAATATTTTTTTTTCAATACGATTTTTTTGACATAGAAAATAAAAATCTTGAAAGGTGAATTTAAAAAATCAAGAACTTTGTATTGTTAAAGTTTGTTTAAATTTTATTCAGTAATTATTGATAGAGATACTGATAAAATTAAGAAGTTATGATTGATATTAATACATGGAATATACACTGAGTAATATGAATGTAATTTTAAAATAAACGGCTATTTTTTTAAAATAAGTTTTATAATGTAATTTTGTTCTTAATTACACAAATTTGTTTTGTCTTAAAAATTATACAAGTATCTGTGTACTTTTAGTACTAAAAGTAAATTTTAAAATATGTATTTTAAAAATTCTAACATTTCCAATCTCTTTTGTATTGTTTTAAAAATTTTAACTTTGGCATAAAAAATAAACTCTATGTAATATGGATGAATATTATATTTCATTAGGCGTAAATTTAATCAAAGATCAAAGACATGTATTATTTTAAAAAACACATTGGAATATGTTATTTATAAACAATGTATATTTCTTTTTAATTATTTCTTTTCTCTTGAAAAGTTAAATTGAATGGATGTGTTGTTTTAAAATTATATGATTCATTTATATATAATAAATATATATTATTAAGTATTATTGTATCAAGTATTTTTTTTTAATGAAAATGTTGTTTAATGCAAATGTTAATTAATGCAAATGTACCTTAGACTGCAACTCAAAGTATCAGCAATGTTTTAATTAAACTCTAACAGAGTTCCCTATGCAACGGTTGAGTTGCGTTTCTTTCAGAGAAGCCGCATTTTTAAATTAAATGAGGTTGAGAAACACTACGCGCATTAATCAAACTTTACCCGATATATAGGTACATATCGGAGAAATGTTTGAAAGAGATATATGGTATGTGTGTGACGCGCTAAGCAGAATTTATAACAAACGAATCACATTTCATTTGCGATTATATAATATTACATCTCTTTAGTCTCTTGAAATTCTTCCTGCTTTCTTCATGCGAAGCATAAAATTATTTATAAATTATTTAATTAATAAATCAGAGAGGAAGAGAAAGGAGTAATGGAGGAGGGAGGGAGAAATAGAAGGAGAGAAGAAAGGAGTTACATTATATATTTTAAAGGAAGGATTGAATCTATCTTTTTAAAAAAACATTCTTACATTTTAAACTTTAAAAATAATAAAAATTGTTATTATAATTAATATATATATTTATAAACGTATTTATTAATTACGTAATTATTAATTTATTAATGTTATTAATGTTAAAAATTTTTTAAAATAAAAGTCTCTATTAAATATTATCGAAAATAATAATAAATTTTTCGATGTGATATACAAAACCGAATTTTTTCTTTTATAGGAAAAATCCTTTGTTCTCATTTTATTTAAAATAAAAAGATATATTTATTTTGTAATAAAAATATTTGCTTCCTATGTGCCATCAATATATGTATCATATGTCATCAATATATTTATTTATTCTAAAATAATAATCTAATTAAAAAGGCGTAATTGCAGATATAATTCGATGTATCTTTGTTGGGATTAAAAATTCAACATATTCGATATTTCATGTATTTCGAGCAAATATTTTTAAAAGTATTCATTCACGGTCGACATATCGATGAAACGTTATATTCGTAAATGTGAATTTAGTGGTTTTATATGAAAATCCTTGATAATATAGGTTATATAAAGATATATACATATATATTTAATAAATTTTACATACGTAAAACTACATTGCATTGTTCTATTTTTCCTTTTTCTTTTCTTTTTAATTTTGATATACATATACAATACATATAATCTGATTAATAATTAAAATTAAATTAATCTTTTTCACACACACATTATAGAATTTTGTGCTATTTTATTAGTACATTATTAACGAACATTATTTTAAAAATTTGCCACGGTATAAATTTGCTGTATAAATATATCTCTGGAAATTTCTTTCTTATTTCAACTGTAGAAAAAAAAATCCATTAATACTTTTTTTTTCTCCTCTCAAGCTGATTATGGATACATGCAGAATAATCGGGTCAAGGTTTTTCACGGTTTTAATTATTCAATTTCTCAACTTCTAATGACATCATATAAACATGATATATGAACATATTTCGAGTCACATTAATTTTTTTTTTACTAGAGTTGTTAACGTTATTGAAACTATAAAACGACGCAAATTATAATAATGAGGGTTTAAATGGATCTCGACATTATGAATTTGGATGCTTGAGTCCTTCGTTATTCGTAATTGCTATTTTTTTGTTAGACACGATATATAAAATACACATAATATTATTATATTAAATTTAAATTACGTAAGTTAGAGATGGAATAGTTTATATTTTTATTTTATTTAAGATAGAAAAATGTGTTATTATAAAAATATATAAATATTAATTATAATTAAAAATATAAAATATGATATTATTAACATTACATTATCAAATATGATATAATATTCTAAAATATTTTTTAATATCTTATAATTTTTCTTTAGTAACAACATCAGGATATAAAAGAGTTGTGTAAAATAAAAAATGTGTACATATTTATGTGTACATATGATTACAAATAATAATTAATTTCTTATTTGTAATCGACATTCTATAATTACATTACCTTTGACTACTGAATGCAGAATCCGACATGCGATCCGGGCTTGTATCGACTTTCCTGAAATAAAGAAGAAACGAGTCGTATTACTTATTGTAGGATTGCATTTATTTTTAACGCAAATTTTTTAATAAGAGAATTAAATTAAACTTCACAATTTTCTAACAATATCTTGAAGAAACATAAATACATATTTAGAAGGTGATATTTATTATTGCAACATCATTGACATATTGGCAGGACAAAATTCGAAAATAAAGATTCTCAAATAAATGTGACGAAATTATAAATATTGTAAAATTGATAGAATTTATTAATTATAAAAATATTATGTATTTCGCTATAAAACTATAAACAATTGCTTTTAAAAACTGTTTGTTGTAGTTTGCGCGTTGCGCTATCATAATACCGAAATGTTTTATCGACACACACACACACATACATATTTTTATACATACATATATTTATTATAATATATACAACATATATCCTATCATAAGATACATTTTGTATATACATATATAATATTTTACGATATTTGTTCATTTGAGAATATTAATTTTTCAAGTTTTATTCAACCAGATATTTGCGATTAATCTCACTACACGAGATTACGAAGAAGTAATCTCAATTGTTGACATTTCGTTTGCCAATAGTAGTATATCGTGCAAACTTGTTTTATTCCTTCTATATTTCTCGATTGTTCGAAGTAGGAAAAGTTCAACACGTGCGATTTATGCTTTCGCAAGGAAATATTTACATTTTGATTTGTACCTGCTGTTTGTTTTTTTAATTTAAAAAAAGTAATTTATTGACAAAATTTAATCTAATATTTTATGAAATTTAATTTAATATTTTAATATTATAGAAAAGTGTCATTTTTTTCTTTTAAATCGAATAATTCTTGTTTTTAATTTTTTTTAAATTTGATTTTATAGTTTAGGCTTATTTTCCTTTTCCTTATATTTTTTAACTACATTTCTGATAAATATATTATATATCTATTATTTTTATAGTTTCTCAATATTTTTATCTCTCTAAATATTCTAACGCGCTTTAATTTTAATTATAGGGAGCTAACTTTTTAGATAGATTATCGCATGAAAACTATAAAATTGAAAGTGCAAAATTAGGTGCCACTTTAATTAATAAGTTAAAATTGTACGATAATTAAGTTATATGTATAGGGTTTCCTATTTATCATTATTTTAATTACAGGTTGCAACAATTTATTTCGGATTGTATGAGATAGTCTTATATATTTTGCGAAAGATAAGATAAATATGCGCAGATTTGCGAGAGATTTATAAGTTTTTTTAACTTTTACTTTTAGTTTTAAATCTAATATATAGGTGGAAATATTTTAAAATATTTCCAATCAGTTTGACAGCATTTTAGAAAATATTTTATCATTCCTTACCTCCTTAATTCATAGCTGATTTTCATTAAATTATAACAATGAAAATTGGAACACTTAATTATGAAAATGTAACATAAGAAATAAATTTCAAATAGGTAATTTAAATTTGTATGTAATATCTAAATATATTTTTATGAATTACGTGAATTACATATTTAGATAAAACATATTTTTACATTACAGATGAATTGCTATTTAAATATTTAGAGTAAAAATTAAAAGTCAAGAACTTATAATGAATTAAAATTTTACTAAAATATTTTTTTAAGTGATAAAATGCCTTTTTTATTAATTAAGATGTTAAGAGCAAAAAAAATATATTTAAGCATTCTTAAATATATTTAAATAACTTCGCGTTTAGGCAACTTTGATCGCGTCATAATTAAATAGATAGTGGAGTGTGATATTGATAATTCAATATAATTATAATTTGTAACAACGGATCATTACATTGTATTATATTGTTTATATATTTATGTTCAATCTTCGAAAAAATAAATAATCTATTAACTATCTTTGTAATATTTCTATTAACCTTTTTGTTTATAATAATTTAAATTTTGTATTATTTTTTGTTATTTTTAATTAAATATAAATTAAATGAGAACGTTCTAAGAATTTCATGTTTTAAACAAAGTAAAGTTTTTATATTTTTGTCAATGAATAATATACATATTATTATATACCATTATGTATTATAATTATTTGCAAAAGTAATCATCTTTTTTATTGTAGTAAGAACATTGTATACATATATATGTATGTAATTTTACTGTGAATTACATATATTCTGAAAAAATTACTGAAAATAATTAAAAAATAGAAATTATTGTTTCAACATACCTATTTATTAATTCTATTATTCACATGACTGCAAGCCAGATGTATTCATATTTATACTATTCCATTAATTTAATCAATTAAAAAAATTATTTAATAACTTTTAATATTTTTTTAGATTCGATATCTCATCGCGAATCTTTCAAGTAACATATACATGTAAGTTGCTAGTATTTAATATTAACTTTCTCCATAAATGGGATGTTAAAAAAAGAACTTCAACGTTTTATATAATATTAAAGTTCATAACCGATTTTAATATATTCAGGATCCTGTTAGTGACATGCAAATATTCGGATTGATTCAGGATTCTAGCAACGTGCATAGCACAGTGCTGCTGAATGAAGAATAGTGATTGAAATGCGCATATTGTGTGCAGTGAGTAATAAAGGTTACACCTAATATTAAGATCGTGCGCGTTTCATGGAGGATAGAAGCGCTTAAAAGGCACGTCGAAACTGGTACACATTGCGTAAACATGTATTCTTCATGCATTACAGATTTTCATAATGGATGTGACGGATTGATTGCGTCTTTTGCGAATGTTTGACTTTTTTTATGTAAAATAAAGGGCGCAACACAGAGATTTTAATGAATATTTGAAATTGTGCTTACCGGAATAATTCTTAATGAAATTTATACAGAATCTGACAAACTTTCAGACTCTTGTCATTATTAATATGTTATAAATTATCATATAAAAATATGTATATCAGTACTTTATCGTAATTATAAAATCTTTACGAGGAAATCGATTTTTCAATGCAATAGATAGATTTTACATTCTTAATTATGTACATAAATGCATTTAAAATATGCAAATGTAACTTATTAAATTATTATTTCTATATTTCTATATTTTAATTAATATTTATAATATAAGATTTTTTAAGTTTTACGCGCAAGGATATGTATGTGCGCACAAACGCGTTTTTATAATAAAATGAGCTATTTCTGTTAATCAATAAACAGAAATACATATGTTTTTTATATTATTCTTTATATTATTTTTATATATTATTCTTTATTATAATATATTTAAAAAAAATATATAATTTTAGGTATATATGTAATTTATAACTAGTATTGCGGTAAGATCGTCGAAAAATAAATTTTTACGAGATATATTTCATAGTTTATATAACTTTAGTGTCAAATTTAAAATTTATTCAAATTTATTTTATAAAATATCTCGTAAACTATTCATTTTTGGCTATCTTACTCTTATGATTTTTTATGCCAAAAACTGTGAGAAATCGATTTATATAAAAAAATTAGTAGTTTCATTAAAACAAAATCAAATAATCTTAAAAAGCACTCTTTAGAAAAAAGTCAGAAAAGTCATCTTCTGTCCATTCTCAAATCAAACAACTTTTGTTTAAAACATTTTGTTGTACAATCAAAAATAAAAGTTTTTAGAGGTGGTCGATTAAAATTGGACATTCTGTATATAGGTATATATTAAAAATATTTATGAGACATCTTCAAGATCACATATTATGGCATATACTTTTATATTATGTCAGACGTAGCTAATGAAAATGCAAATATGCTTAGATACTTAAATACTACATATTGCTGCAACATATATGTGAATAAACATGTGATATTCCCATGTGTCATACGTCTAGATTAATATATTAAAGTGGTAGAAAAAAATATATACGGCATAACGCGCTGGCGTTTGCATTGTGCACATTGAGTACCGCAGTTTTAATTTTATCAATCGTATATAGTTTCAAACTGAATGCAATAGGAGTGCAATCGCTGTCTCTCTCCGTCGAATTTTAACATGCATCGAGACATTAATGTCACTCGTGTCGCACCGGCGCCTATTATCGGACGCGGTTTTACGAGCAATACGTTGCGTCGCAGCGATGCAAGCTTGTGGTGCAACATGAAAACAAATACCGTATATACTTCTACATATAATGCTGCGAAGGCCGAAATGAAAGCGGAGCGGAGGAAATAAACTTTATCACCGATGAAAACGCTATCGATATATAGCAGCGCGATCGAATTCCAAGAGAGGCTATTTATATACACGTATCAACTATGATACGACATTCAATGAATAAATTTATATTTATATACACATTTATATTGGATATTTGTTCTAATGACACAGATTTATATAATAACTAAATAGCATTTTATCAAGAATTTTTTTTTATAATAAGATATAACGTACCTATCTGTGATGAGAAAAGCTTAACAAATATTTTTTCCTATATCATATAAAACGTGTGCGATCATAGCTCAAAGAGTTGTGCGTTTGCTTTCTATGCTCGAAGATCCAAATTCAAATACATCCAGAAACACATCTTGGATAAAGTCACTAGATATACAAAATATCGCAATCATCCGTCATTTTAGCTTCAACACACGGATTTTTATTCAAATTGTATGTTTGTATAAATGTATGTGTTGATAAAAAGAAAAATCGTAAATTATATAAAATCAGTATTTTTATTTACGCTTTATATATCTATATTATTCATATATGCTTTCATAGCAATATTTCTACTATTATTAGTATTTTTTACAGTATTAATAGTTTCTTTTTTTAAATAAAAGTGGATGCGTGCTGTAGCAAATAATTTCATAAGTTTATAAATAATGCTGTGGCACAATGGAATAAAATTTGTAGAACGATCTTGTAAAAATATTTGCACAAACTGTATTTTAAAATTAATTTTTCGCTTCGATGCAGCAATCTGACATATTTTTGAATATCATTTTATTTTTTTGTCACGAATGCTTTTTAATTTGCATAGACGTAGGAACATGAGTTCCACAC